TGGGGCACGTTGGTGCTGCTGGTCCTACAACATAAAACCAAAGACTGTCAAGATATTTGAAAACCCTTAAATCCTAATCTTAATACCCCCATTACACCATGTTAACTCATATATACATACTCCTTTATGCCTGTATTATTGTGAATTTGACATTTTGATATGGATTTGGTTTCATAATACGTCATTCCTATATGTCCTGGAACTAGTTCTAGTCGGCTTAATGCATAGAATTCATATCAACATAGCAGGATGGTCACAGAGTGATGGCCATTTTTATGTTGCCATTGCAAAGAAAAGTGACGGTTGTAGCTGGCTTACTTCTGGAAAATCAGTCACTAAGTGAGGTTTTTCAGTAAAGGCCATACAAGTAGTGGAGTAGTTAAAAGCATGGAGAGGTGTCTTATGGGCACTATCTTTGTTGCCTTGCTTAATATTTCTATTAGTAAGTCAGATACAAGGAAAACACAGGGTTAGAGTGGACAGTAGGCAAAATAAAGTTCTCAAAAAAGTGAATGTGATACACTGACTTGTGTTGTCACTATAACAACAACCGACAATCGCCAATTTTCTGAACTAGTCAAGTGACAAAGGTTCAAACAACAGTTCAAAGTCCGTTCAACACTCATTTTACTTTTGTTTACACGCCTCCTACTTTCATCCATCAAAACTGCTTTATAAGAATTGTAAAATCATACACTATCAATTTGATTTTCAACCGATTTAAAGGTCCCATGTCATGGACATTTCTGCTGATCATAATTCCATTGTTGAGGTATACTAAAATAGATTTATATTCTGCAATTTTCCAAACTTACATTGGTTTCTCATACAGCATCTCTGTATAGTATGTGTATTCACTCTCTGTCCTACACGCTTTGTTGGAGCTCCTGCCCCCCCCCCCCCTCCCTATGAGCCCACTGTAATAATGTAAATAATTGTGATGTGTGTTTATGTGTTACAATGGCGTTTGTTAGCAACCAGAAAATGACACCAGTAATGACAAACAGATGAGAATGCTGCGTGGGGTCTGGGTGCCGTGTTGGCGGGACGTTGCGGGGCTCGCTGCTCCGCCCTTTGAGGATCGAGGAGCGGACAGTGTAAGCTGTATTACTGGTGTCATTTCCTGGTTGCTGCGTGGGGTCTGCGAGACAGCGAGACACTGCGGAACTCAGCCTGAGCACACACACGTGAGTGTGTGGCGAACTGTGAGTGGAGATCAGCGGAGCCGCGGCTGAGAAAAGATAAGGCTGACTGAGTGTGTGTGTATGTAGCCTTTATTTAACCAGGTGTGTGTGAGGAGCTCCACGGATTGGTCCATTTGGACCTGGGATTCGTTAAGTCACTATACTCAGGAAGAAAAAAATGGAAAAAGATAAATCTCCAACGAGGCGTTCTGGGGCAGCATAGACAGGTATTTTCTGTGTTAAGAGTTTTACTCGCTACAGGGTGTACTTTGAGGGTTTGTGACTTTGCAGACCGTTTACATGCAGAAAAAGCTACATAACACACAAGGGGACGGGTAATAACCGGAAAAGCATGACATGGGACCTTTAAATATGTTCTTATATCTCTAGTTTATGAAATTCAGATCACAAGTTTGATTGTACCTTATCGAACAATTATCACGGAGGTTTCTTAGAATCAAAATGAATTGAGAATCCTGAGAATCGCGATACTTTGTGAGTTTTTTCCATCTTATATCAGCCTATCTTTTCATTAAAACCCCTAAATAAAAACCATGAATCATGACAACCACATTGAAATCAAGCCGCTGCAGATCATACCTTGGGTTGGTAAGGTGGTGGAGCTCCAGTTCCAGTCCCGGGCCATGCTGGAGGGTGGGACGGACGGACAGGATTGCCGTAGTGGTTTTGTGGAGGCTGCTGGCCTGGCTGCCATTGCTGCTGTGGGGGGGCATACGCTCCAGAGTGCGTCCATCCATCAGACTGGGGGCTAGGGTGGAGGGGCTGGCCAGTGGGGTACGGGGGGTTTGCGGGCATTGCATGACCTCCTTCACTGTAGTGAGGGTATGCCCCAGTAGGATATCCAGGACCCTGGAAGCAGAGCAGTGTTCATTTTATAATCAAAATCTATGAAGAAATGGTAAATGAGAAGAGGACTTAAATGGTATTTATACAACGCTTTATCCTGTCTTTACAACTACTAAAAGTGCTTTACATTTACAAGTCATTATTCATCCATTCACACCTCATTCATGCTGTTTTTTCTCAAGGAACCCCAAAAATGTTCATCAACAACAGTTTTTCCATGAATAATACGAGATGATGGCGAGAAGGAACTAAGGTCATTAAACACTGACTGTGACGATATCAACATTTAATATCGTTTCATATTTTACGAATGTTCTCACCCCTTGACAGTGTGGACCAGGATAGTGATGATGCTGGTGTTGGGGGTGGGGCTGCCCAGACGGCCCACTGCTCTGCTCGGCAGGACATGCCTGGTTGGGGTACGGCCCTGGAGCCTGTCTCTGAGTGTCAGCACAGTAAAACGGGTTGGACGGGTGGAAACCACTAGTCGAGTATTGGTTCTGCGCTGGGCTGTAGACACCATGGCCATTTGGATAACCTGCAGGCATTACCTTCATCGAAAGCACAAGAGATGGGGATTAATTTAAGACCCTCCCTTATCTGTGTGTTACTGTATCACAGTGATGTAATTGTTACAACATAGGCATTAGAATATGTGAGCGAAGGGTGAAAGCACTTAAGAGACTTAAGGATAATGGGCAGATTTACTGCTACTGTACACCCGAGGATTAAAAAAGGGCCAGTTTATGTTGTACCTGTTGATTGTACTGTGGTGGGACATCTGATCCCGATGGATAGGTGTTTGCATAGTGTCCTGTTGCATGAGACTCCGGATACCAGTAATGTGAGGGGTACCCTGGATACTGAGGAGCGTCCTGTGAACACAGAATATTTTCAAGATTTATACATTTTATTGTCACATTGCAATGGATAGCTTATTTGCCCAAGCGTCTCAAACAATGCAACATGCTATATTTAACACATACAAATACATAACATAGAGCAATAGACTATTTCAAATGATCAGAGGTGGAAGTAGTACTCAGATGTTGTACTTAAGTAAATGTAAAAGTACCAGAGTGTAGGAATACTGCATTCAAAACGTTACTCAAGTAAAAGTACAAAAGCATTGGCAAGAAAACATACTTAAAGTGCCAAAAGTAAAAGTACTCATTATGCAGAATTATCCATTTCAGAGTGTGAGTTTTACTCCAGGTGTAACTAAAGTATTATTTAAGTTATATATATATATATATATGTATTCTATTGAAATATATTAAATTATTTTTCACATCATTAATCCATATATGTAAAGTAACTAAGGCTATTTATTAAATGTAGTGGAGTAAAAGTACACGATTAACCTCTGAATTGTAGTGGGGTGGAAGTATAAAGTAGCAAAAAATTGATATACTCAATTAAAGTCCCTCAATATTGTACTTAAGAACAGTACTAAAGTAAATATACTGGGTTACTTTACAGTGTAAAGTAACCCAGTACATTTAACTTGCACCACAATTGTTATTTGCAGTGGTGTACACCACTGCAAATAACAATTGTGGTGCAAGTTAAATGCATGAATAAGTCAACTACATACGTGTTAGGTCATTTACAGGAGTTGAAAATGTCTCTTAGTAACAGGAGTAATTTTAAATGTGTGCTTTCGAAATCCCCACCTTCGTGAAGAAACTGAGTAAACATTGGCACTGACACATATGTTTGCTGAACCAGTTTTGCACAGAGCAGCACTAATGTACCATCTAACAGAAACCAGGCCACGCTGAATATTTAAGGAAAGATATATCTTAAACATTTGCGTGTTGATACGACTGTAGTATTGTCAGCAGTGGGGTCAAGTCCAGATGAACGTGACAAAGTGTAGCGGTTACTATCAACGTTATATAATGCCAGCTAGCTCCGTTAGCCTTGAAGCTAGCATGAATAGAGCTCTTACCTAATGCGAGCTAGCAGGGTGAATACGCTTTTCTGTACAAACATGAAAATTAAAACACATTTTAAAAGACAGAGGCTAACCCCCTTTGTCGAAGCTGTGTCACTTGCCATGGTGTTATTCCAGTTCTGGTTAGTATTCCCCGAGTTACAAGTCGAGGGCCGATTTGACTGCATTTGAAGATGGTGCATCAGCTAAACGCGCTCCCCGGCTTCCGTCCTGTTATCTGCCATTGTAAAAGCCTTTAACAAGTCTAACGTTTATTGTCTGAGCCGTATGTTCGTCCCAGCTGTTGACAACAATGTTGCCGTTTTTTCCACAGAAGTACAGATCGTCTGAGTGGATTCAGGAAATGATTGAATGGCTCCGAGCAATCCTGTGCTGTCTCTTTAACGAAGAGCACGAGAGGAAATCAAGAGCTCTCACTCCGCGTCTAGTTTTCTGCGACCACAAACTGTGGTGGACATTTTCTCTAGTTTCCCCCTATGGTTTCCCCCCAGTATGTGTCGCTTTTCGTAATGAAATGAAATGATACAAAAAAATAGTTAAATTGTGAAAAAGTATCAATTCAACACATTTCTAAACACCTCAATTCCTGAGTGACCACTTGTGTTTTGTCTTGTCTGTTTTCTGTTCATATGCCCCAAATGCCTTTTTCTGAAATAATTGTTCAATAAATATTTAAAATAAAGGTTTTATGTTATATCTTTTCATTAATAAATTCCGTGTTACCTCCATTACGTGGAGGAGACTTTGGCTGTGTTTGATGGAACGATTCATTTGTGTTTAGATAATGTTACACAAGCAAATGTGTTGAGTTGTTCCGAATCTGTCTTTATATACGATCTCTGGTGTCGCCTGTGCATCAGCCGATAGGAAACACGTCATAAATATATCATATTTCTCATTGTAACGAATATTTTTATCTATAACTAATATTTATCTTTGGTTTTACATTTATTAAAATATATTTTTCTTCAAACGCTACACCTAAAAACGTAATGAAGACAACATGAAATAAATAGCAGCGCTGAAAGGGTTAAGCGCCTACAGGAAGTTTATCCCAGGCGTGTATAAAGACGCTTCCTGTACTTCACTTCAGAGAAACATATTTTGAAACATTCATGGCTTGACGTTACATAAAGGCATAAGAAGCAAATTAAAAGCAGCCCAAGATGAACTACGTACCAGGGACGGCAAGCCTCATTGACGACATCGACAGTAAGTCCTGTAGGAGGAGCCGCTCCGGTAGATGGAGACGGTTTGGCGGAGAAAACGTTCAAAGATGTGGCATCGTGTCTGACACAAACTGGATCATTTGTAACCGCTTTAATGTTGTAATTAACCATGCATGTGTTGGTCTATTTTGCAGAGAAGCACCTGGTGCTGCTCCGAGATGGCAGGACACTGATCGGTTACCTCCGAAGCATTGATCAGTTTGGTATGATTTATTTAATTATCCACCACTTGTTTTGACTCAATAAGGCTGCAAAACACAAGCCAAAGAATATCGGCTAATTTAAAATGGGCTCAATACCATTGTTGATATACTTCCCACCCCCTGATGTGTTTATTTATTGAAGAGTTTGATTTAAAATGTCATTTTAACTAGGCAGTTTATTTCTCCAACCTGTTTCTCTTGTCTCCCCAGCAAATCTAGTTTTTCATCAGACAGTTGAACGCATCCACGTGGGGAAAAAATTTGGTGACATCCCCAGAGGAATATTCATTGTGAGAGGAGAGAATGTAGTGCTACTTGGAGAGATAGTAAGTGGGAATATCCTCATTTTGTGTGAGTGTGTGTGTGTGTGTGTTTGGATGGTACAACTAGCAAAACAAACAACAGTGGATGGTGACTAGAGCTCGTCTAATCTATGTCATTTGTTTTATACCATGATAAATGTAATATCTTTGGGTTTAAGACTGACAAAACAAGACTTTTAAATATGTCTTATGGCCCAAGCAATCGTTCAACCTAGAATATTATCGGCAGATTAATCAATAAGGAAAATAACTAAGTTACAGCCTTAATATTTGGTCATTGCACAATACAATTTTTAATTTATCCTGAATTGGCCATATATATGCAGTATATTCACATTTGTATAGTCTTTCAGTTGAGGTTCACATAACAAAGTGGCCCAGGATCCTAACGCAGTCTAATAATCAGAGATGGTTCATTCTACGTTTGTGTTGCCTATTCTATGTTCTAGTAATACCAATAAAAATGTATTTTAGCCACCTAAAAAAATATACCCAGTTTAAAAAAAAAAAAAGAACGCATATCCGTTTAAGTGCAGCTTCATTTAGAATATTTTCACTGCTTTACCCTGCACCACAAAAACCTTTCTGACGGTGGACTGGAGCTGTTATAAATATCTATGCCAGGGGTGTCCAAACTTTTTTCACTGAGGGCCACATACAGAAAAACATACAAAGGGCTGGGCCCCTCACTAGAGGTGAGGTATACTGCCTCATAGGTTAAATTACAATTCAGCAAAATCAATCAAATGTAGGTCAATTATGCTTTCTACTTGAATATGATGAAACATCACAGCTCTCCAGAGGGTTTCAGTTATCCTGTTGCAGCTCATCCCTTAAAACAGAAGCCTCAGATTGCTTATAATAAGGGGAAATATGAAGGGTCTATTTAAAGCTTGTTATGGAAATAAAACAAAGATTTGTTAGAACATGTTCTCAGTTCTAATTGACTGAATGTCTTTGAATAGTGGGCTTATTAACACATGAAAACGACTGTGTAATATAGGCTCACATATATATATTTAAGAAGTACAATATAAGACAAGCACGAGTTTCAGGTCTGGGCCATATACCATTATACTTTAAGAATTTGCTGAGGGCCAATTTAGAAATGGACAACGGGCCGCATTTGGCCCCCCGACCGTAGTTTGGACACCCCTGATCTATGCTCTCTTCAAAGCCTCCAGACTCCATTGACGGAGAAACTAATTTTGCCTCCAAGAATGCGCAAGTTGCAGGTTTAACTGCAGCCTCAATTGGTTGGAATGTTTGTATTGTTCTGTGACTTTAGTCAATCTGAACTAAATTAAGTGACTTAGAACATAGAACACAAACTAACAAATTAAGGCTGCAACTCCTGTTTCCTGCCTTTTTGAAGAGAGCATCCAGCTCCAGTTTCCTGTCGGAGAGGTCTTTCTGATGGAAGGGTCAAGGATGTATTCTAAATATAACAAACAATTAAAACGATTTTGATACATTTTAGGCAGATTAAACACATTTAGCTTTCTACTGTGTAATACACTGACTATGGACCTCATACAACTCTACTTCATCCAAACCATCTCTTTAATATCAAGCTGTCATGGGAAGTACAGTGAGCTGTTTGCTGATGTCTGAGTTTTGTTTTAGGCCTGTTGACAGATTTAATGTTCTCTATGCAGGATATGGATAAGCCCTCCGACACAGTCCTTCAACAAGTCTCCATTGAGGAGATTCTGGAAGAGCAAAGGTTGCAACAGCAATCCAAACAGGAGACGGAGAAAGTCAAAATGCTGGCACTGAAGGACCGAGGCCTTTCAATACCCAAAGCCGATAACTTAGACGAATACTAACCCTGAATCCATGAGGCCCTTTCTCAGTTTGTATCGGACTGATACGTTTTATGTTCAATTTGAATTTAAGAGATCATGAGTGTTTTCCTTTTAATGCACCATGCTTGGTCTGTATACTGTAGTGTACTGTATTAATTTCATTTGATCATTTGGAGAAAAGAAATGTGATAGCTGCTCTGTTTTGCAGGACCTTATAGAAACAATGAAAGAATCATGTGTTTATGTACGATCACTCTGTTGACAATTTAGCAATTATTTTACAGCAGCACTTTCTATTATGTCGGTGATATGTTAAGCCTTTTTATTTGGAGAAATGTGGGCCTGCTATTGACAAAACTACATGCTATGCTCCATTAAAGAGTTTAGTTTTTCATTATGGATGGCATGCTTGGACAAATTTGTGCCACCACACCATCTGACCGTGTTGCCTATTCTTTTTTACTTCATTTTGTTGTATTTAATGAAGTATTAAGGCATTACAGTTTTATATATTTGGTGTTATTTGAGCCAAAAGCAGCAAGTGCCCTTCTGGTCCTCTGTGATGGAGCTACAACCAACATGCAGACGACAACAGAGCATTTGTTATGCTCTATCTTAGAGGAAAGGGGATTTTAATGTAAGTAATTCAATGTAGGCTGGATCAGTCAGACTTCCGCATGTCCTGTTTATAAAGATAAGCGTCCGGAGAAATCGATCTTATCTGCCTTCATCAGTCAATAACAAGCTTGTTAGTCGTTCGGACCGATACAGTGAGTTAATATGAAGCAGCAGCTCAGCACGCCCTGTACCCCGGCTGCTGCAGCAGAGGGCTGGCGGTGTTCAGCCCTTATCGTAGGTACACACTCTGCTACGAGTTATCCTGGTAACAAGTGAAATGGCCTTCCGCCTAGATTCACTGTATGTTCTTTCTTTTTGCATATATTGAACACTTTCCAGCAGCCTGCATGCAAAAAAGGAGGAAATAAGTCAAGCTTCGTACAGTAACAACAGTATGAATTCCGGGATTCCTTCAAAAATAAAAGTCCTTTGCTGCATTAGATTCATAATATAGAGGGGTATAAATGAATTGGGAGGTAAAAAAGGTTAGAGAGGGGTAAAATATGCTAAAGGGATTATAGGAACTGCACAATCTGTTTTATATCTGACTATAGGCATAAGGGCATACATATGGAATAAGATCCGTCTTAACCTTATTGAGCAAATTGCCCCAACATAAGGTGTATAACTATTTTTAATCGTAAATGTAATGTCCATTAAGTATACTAACCCACACTGTAGGTGACATCATGTAGGCCTACATAACCTGCTTTATGGTCAACTAGAGATGATGGGAGATCAAGATCATGAGCCAACTTAAATATAAAATGTTCATTACAATATTTACTAACTATATTTCCTTTTGGAATATCAGGGTCTGGACTTTTCTCAAATGCTACCAACAAGGGATAAAGACCTGGGTATGGCACAGATAAACATGCTGTTCAAATAAAAGGGTGCTACTATTCATTAGAAATGATGGGTTATTGCATGAATCTCTGCAGTGTGTAGAGGTCTTTAACAATTGACGTGTCATAACCCAGTACTTTGAAAAAGACCAATGAAAACGTTTTATCTTTAAGAAGCTGCCTAATGCAATGTATCCATCGTACAAGGACATACACAAGGATAAGTATGTTCTTCATTTAGAAATTATACCACCAGGGGGCGACTTTACCTAATACCCCTTTTTCTATATTCACTATAAATTAATTTGCAAATTTAAACAAGGCCTACATTTTTGCATAAATGTATTGCCAAACGGGCCTATCAGGCACAAGCCCTGGGGCACAACATTGTCAGTTGCTTTTAAATACAAATGTAACTCAAAGAGACATGTACCTAATAGACTCAAATTTACCACAAAAACAACAAATGACTAAATCAACGCATACAGTGAGACTCAAAATGACAAACAATAACTACAAAAGAGACACAAAACTAAATCAGAAGATGCTACACAACTTCCGTTTAGCTTGCTCCTATAGTGGTTGGGCCTTTTGTATTTCTGTGTCCAGGGGTCCATCGTCTCATAATGTAACATTGTGAATTTTTAATCAAGAGGACAAAGAAAACAAACACTTTTAAGCGTTCAAACAAGGGTTTTAGAAGATGTGCATGTATTTCCAGCACTGTAACATGACAAATACCTCCTTCACAGGTGTGGCCACTTGTTACCTGATTTGACCCCTACTGGTAGGAGGTCTAATCAGGTAACAAGTAGAAACACCTGTGCTGCTTCACATGGCTGCTTTACTGATGTGAAGAGTTGTTACAGATCCATTGAGAGGAAGACACAGAAAAATAATCTGTAGTTTTTAACCAAGTGTGTTCGCATTTAATTTTTTTTGTTATTCTATCCTGCAACTGCTGTTTCTGGCTTCAATGCACCATACTGTAGGTCAATGCCAAAATAAATAGTACACGGTGTTATTTTGGTGACAATTTAGCTTCACTTCCGGTAGAGTTGTTACTGTCTCTGACTTGACGCAGCTTTCACAGAGAGGCCCAGCCCATTTCGATTACGCACCAACAGGGGAGGGGTGCGCGTTTATGTCCTCGCTCAACCAACCCCTGTCGTTCTAATGTAAAGCTGGTAGTGTCCGGGTGTACCGCTGTAAAGAATCCGCTGTAAAGAACCCGGTTCGCTTGCATCGGTGCCTCCAACTTGAATATTCTCTGCGTCGGAGAGACTGCAGCCAAATTACGCATGGAATGGTTTTGGGGGGATTGGAGTAGAAATGCAGCGCCGCACTTCCAGCCCACAACAAGAACCATGCTCAGCTTACATTGCAAGCACATTTATGACATCCTGTTTAATCCATTACGACTTTGATATGAGTGAAATTTGCTCGGATACCGTCAAGGAGTGAAGAGAATACACACAGCGTACAAGCTAAAGGACGGTGTTTTTGCTGCAGACCCTTGTGAAACCTCTGCATTTAGGATTTTTTTTTGATGGAGCTGGAGAACATAGTAGCCAACACTGTACTGCTAAAAGCGAGAGAGGGTAAGTTGGCACATAAAAAAAGCTAAGTGCAAATAGTAAGTAGGCCTGTCATATTTTGCGCTCAATATGCAGACAAGGTGGGAATAATCGTAATGATGACGGCAGTAGGTACGTCTGCGGACTGTAGGCTCAGTAGGCTACAGCAGGTAAATCCTACAGATGCAACAGAGGGGGAAAAAAACACATTCGTATGATCTAGCGTTGATAGATGTGTTGATGGTGTATACACTAATTGGACGTTTTTATTCTGTTGATCAATTATAACCTTAAATCAATCTTGTGAATCATTTTTATTCTCACTGATTTTGACAAATCATATGCGTTATCCCACATATGCATGGGAGGGGGGGTATTCTGCCTCCCACATCCGCTTTCGCTGTCTGTGCAAATTAATGCGCTCTTTCGCAACATTTTACATGCTGAGGCACAAACTGATTACATGGAATACATGGTTGAAGACTAGCTGGCATTTGAACAGTGATCTAATGATGTGACTGATGTTGAAATCGGTGTATGGGGCCTGCAGAGGAATAATCTGGTTATCAGTGTAGCTGTCCAATGAGAAGGCCAGGTGTAGTGTGACAAATAGGGGTATATAATGCTATAAATGGCTATTTTTGAAGAAGACAAGCCTAAAGTCATTGGGTCAGAAAGAAGGCCTGCAGGTAACATAATTTAGTCTGATGCCATGATTGTTTCCCTTAAAGTCTTCTGGAGGTCCCTGAACCTTTTTTGTACAGGGGGGTTAAAGTAAACAGCAGCCTCATACTTCCTTGGAACTCTGTATGTGTGTCATATAAATCATGTAACCTTTAACTATAACTTCAAAATCTAAGTAACTCAGTTTTGGAGGCACACTCTCTAACAAGTTCTCACACAACTTTGGTTGCAGGCAGCACGTGGTTTTATGTGGCAACAGTCTCTGTGGAGTTGCGGGGTGACGCAGGAAAAGACTGTGCGCCTCCTTCCATTTATCTCACATGATGACATACTTGGGAGTAAAAAGGTTTGCCAGAGAGGCCGGGGAGAGTTTCATGGGAACTAATGGATTAATGAAGTGAAACTGGAAGCTGACTTGCTGTCAAAACCCTTAACGAAGAATGCGTTTTACCCTCGGGTCAATCTGGATGTTTTGTTTTACGGGGGGAAGAGCACGACTGGGCCGGGTGAATTCTGCTTCATGAATTAATAAGAGCAGTTAATGACCCATGACAGATAGGGCTTGTCCCAGCAGCTCCATTGGTGCTCATCCAGTCCCTGCCCCCTGTGTGTGGGAGAAAGGGCCTTTTACAATTTCACATTATGGGATGAGACGGGTCTTTGAGTTAATAGCTGAAACATGACTTTCTCTGCGGCTTTATCAATGGCCCTACAAAAGAGAGTAGATCAACAGTTGAGTTCACATTTGTTGCACTGCACACACTGAAATGTGTCACAGGTTGTTGAGAGTGTCCTTTTAACTGTGAATCATTAGGGGTTTTATCTTACAGGGCCCAGAGCCAAACGGATCCCTGTGTGCTGGTGGTGACTTCTCACTCATGTATGGAAGATGATAGTATACACAGAGGCTTACTTTCAGCCACATACCAGCAACAGTGGGAGAATGTGAATGGAGTGCATAAAAGAGTGTTTATTCCTGTTTGTTTATGCAAGTGTGTCTCAAGCCAGAGCAAGAGGCATGCATCCTCTGTCCAAACGCTCCCAGAGACGCACAGCAGGAAGGCCCAGTTTCCACTGCCATGTTTTATGCCAGCGTCCTCACACCTCCAAAATCAGTAAAACAGTGCAAGTGGAGTAGAATAAAAAGTGATTTATATCCCCAGGCCAGGAGCGGCAAAGCAGGCCCCGTGCCAGCTGCCTTCGCTCTTTGGCTCCTCTGTGTCAGACCGATCTCACACAGTGCTGGTCTGGGGTTTACCACCAAGACTTTGTGAGCACTCTTCATTGATTAGAGGAACCTACAGATGGGGGATTAAACCAACTTGCTTAAAACTTAGGATCAAAGGGGATTTACAATCAATATGCTGTTCCATGTTAATGACAGAGTGGAAAATATAACTCATGGATTTTCATCGACTAAGAGAAGCTGCTCTGATCATATTGAACCATCACATAAAGTGACCGCTCTCTTATATAAAGCCACATTATATTATATGCTATCCGTTAGACGCAGCCCATAAGCTATTTAATCAAATTGATCATTACATAACCAACTGAGTGGGCTACTGCCATCCGAGCTCCATCTTCCTTAGGCGCTGCTCTCCGGTCTCTGTGGAAGATACTTTGTGGATGATGAGTATACAGTGAAATACAACTCCTGCGTGATCATCTGAG